AAATGAGAAATCCCAGCAGCAGGAGCTTCAAACACAGCAGCAGCAACACGAGGCTGAGCAGCCCAGGTGCTCTAAGCCCAATCAGGACTGCTGCGAGCAGCAGCAGAACCCGCAGCATCAACAACAGCAAGAGCAGCAGCAGCAGCAACAACAGCAGCAGCAAGAGCACGCCGCTTCCACGGGTGAGGTCAACTAAGCCGTTTCTCGGCAAATGGCGATCTCCAGCGGACACTTGCAGTGCAGAAATGCTTCTGCTGCTGCTGCTGCTGCTGCTGCGTCTGCTGCTGCTGCGTCTGCTGCTGCGGCTGCTGCTGGGGGCTCCTCTGCTGCTCGCGCGGTACCTGCAATGCGGACAAGGAGGCACAGCAGCGACACAGACACACGAGGGTATTCAGCCAAAGGCTTTCGCTGCTTGTGGTAGCAGCAGCAGCAGCAGCAGCAGCAGAGCCGCGTGAGCAAGGCGCAGCTGGACCCAGACCACTATGCGGCCTCCCAAGGACCCCCCAGAAGCCCCCAGGGGCCCGCACGGGCCCCCCAGAAGCCCTCAGGGGCCCCCGAAGGGCCCCCTAGGGGCCTCTAGGAGGTGTTAGGGGCCCCCAAGAAGCTGCTGAGGGCCTGTAGGCCCCCCGGTGGGGCCCCCGTGCTGCACTGACCTGCTGCTTCTTGAGAAGGCGAGTGGCGAAAAGAACCTGCGGAGTTATACTGCAGCCAGGGGGGGAGGTCGCTGGGGCCCCTCCAGAGTTTGGGGCCAAAGGGTACAGTGCCCGTGGCTGATTCTGCTGCTGCTGCTGCTGCTGCTGCGTCTGCTGCTGCTGCGTCTGCTGCTGCGGCTGCTGCTGGGGGCTCCTCTGCTGCTCGCGCGGTACCTGCAATGCGGACAAGGAGGCACAGCAGCGACACAGACACACGAGGGTATTCAGCCAAAGGCTTTCGCTGCTTGTGGTAGCAGCAGCAGCAGCAGCAGCAGCAGCAGAAGCATTTCTGCACTGCAAGTGTCCGCTGGAGATCGCCATTTGCCGAGAAACGGCTTAGTTGACCTCACCCGTGGAAGCGGCGTGCTCTTGCTGCTGCTGTTGTTGCTGCTGCTGCTGCTCTTGCTGTTGTTGATGCTGCGGGTTCTGCTGCTGCTCGCAGCAGTCCTGATTGGGCTTAGAGCACCTGGGCTGCTCAGCCTCGTGTTGCTGCTGCTGTGTTTGAAGCTCCTGCTGCTGGGATTTCTCATTTTCGTGTCCTTGCTGCTCCTGTTGCTGCTGCTGCTGCGGGGCTGTCAGCTGGCTGTTTTCTTTTTGCTGGACGTCATCCTGCTGGTGATGTTGCTGCGGAGCATCAGCAGCATCTGCTGCTGCAGCAGGTGCTGCAGCAGCTGCAGCAGATGCTGCTGCTGCTGCTCGCTTGCTCTTCCTGGGCCCCATGATGGAGCCCCGCATCCAAGGCATTTTGCCCTTCATAAGAAGCTGGGGGCCCCTTTGCTGCTGCCTCTGTGCTGCTGCTGCAGAGGGTCACTTTGCTGCTTTTGGGGACCCGCTTTCGGCAGTCTCGAGGCCCCGCCGTTTCGTCAAGGGTCTCTCTCTGTGCGTAGAACGGTAGCAGCAGCTACAGCTGCTGCTGTTGCTGTTGCTGCTGTTGCTGCTGCTGTTGCTGCTGTTCCTGCTGCTGTTCCTGCCGTTGCTGCTGCTGCTGCGGGGGGCTCTAGCAGCAGATTTCAAAGCTACGCAGAGGCCCCCGGGTCTACACATATCTGGCTAGGGCCTGTAGAGGTGCAGCAGTACCTGGATGGGGCCGCGGGGGGCCCCCCGTGGCTGGGGCCCCCAAGGGCTTGTGTTGTTAGCTGTTATGTGTGGCTGGGGCCCCCAGTCAGCAGAGGAAGGCAGGCTTGTGCTGCTGCTGCTCATGAAGGCCTTATAGGCCTTAAAATCATCAACGCGAAGCAGCAGCAGCAGCAACAAGCCCTGCTGCTGCTGCTGTGCTGCAGTTGCTGCAGGGTCACTTCTTCCCACTGCGCAGCCAGACCGTACTTACTCAGGCGCCGTGAAGAAAAACCCGGAAGTCTCTCAAAACCAAGAAATATTCATTTATCAATTGAAATATTTTCACTAAAAGAAGATAAGAATCCCTAGCGATTGTTACCACAGCAGCAGCAGCAGCGGCAGCAGCAGCAGCCCCGCACGTACCTAGTGAGCACGAGGCCTAATCTCCAGCAGCAGCAGCAGCAGCAACAGCAACGACAACAACATCTGCAAACTGCAAATCTAAAAGTCAAATCTCCTTCAGATTTCAGACAAAACACAAGGGGCCTCCATGCCTCCTTGCCACAAAGTGACCCGGGGGGCCCCTCGGGGACCCTCGAGGGCCCCCTGGGGGCCCCTAGGGGGCCCCTTAGGCACACCTGGGGGCCCCCTTGAGGATCCTCGGGGTCCCACGGGGCCCTTAAAGACATAAATACTTTATAAACCCCAGAGACTCTAAAACACCCGCAGCTGCCTCTGCAGTTTTTCCCGCTGAGGTCCCGCGCTCGATTCCCGGCAGTTCCTAAGCCTCGAATTCCCTGCTGCTGCTGCTGCTGCTGCTGCTTTTCCTGTTGTTGCTGCTGCTGGCCCAGTGCTGCTGGCTACGCAAGGCAGGGCCAAAGGGGAAGTGCCAAGGGGCGCCCTCGCGTCTTACTCTTTGGGGTCTTTTCCTGCCCCTCCCTGCTGCTGCTGCTGCTGCTGCTGCTGCATTCTTTGCTCCGTTTCCTCAAGGTACTGCCCCTCCTGCATAAACCCAACTCCATTAAATCAACAAAATGAAACGGCCAAATAATAAGACCCTTTGGGGCCCCCACAGACCCTCAACATTCCTCAAGGCTCTGGGGCCACTGAAGGTCTCCTGGGGCCCCTAGGGGCCCCCAGGGACCCTAAGGGCCCCTCAGGGGCCCCCCAAGGTACCCACAAAGCCTGCAGGGGGCCCCCAGCGGGGCCAGCGTGTCTTTGAAGCCTCTCAGTCTACACCTGCAGCTCCTCTTGGGGCCCCCGTAGAGGCCCCTAGCTCGTGGGGGACCTCCGGGCCTGCTAGGGTTTAGGGTTTAGGGTTTAGGGTTTACCAGGTAGGCCTGTTTGGCTGCTTCGAGGTGGTCTCTTAGCTGCACCAGCAGCAAGTCCGTGGGGGCCCCCCGGACTTCAGCTTGCTGCTCAATTTGCTGCGTCAGCTGCTCCAGCTTTTGGTCAATCAGCGCCAGCTTCTCTTCGTCTGCGCCCACAGACCCCCGCAGCTGCCACAGCTAGCCACAGCTAGCCACAGCTAGCCACAGCTAGCCACAGCTAGCCACACATAGTCGCTGCTAGCCACAGCTAGCCGCAGCTAGCCACAGATGGCCGCAGCTAGCTACAGATAGCCACAGCTAACCACAGCTGGCCACAGCTAGCTACAGCTAGCTACAGCTAGCTACAGCTAGCCACAGCTAGCCACAGATGGCCACAGCTAGCCACAGCTGGCCACAGCTAGCCACGGCCTGCTAAGGCTAGCCGCAACTAGCCACAACTGGTTAGAGCTAGCCACAGCAGGTTACAGCTAGCCACAGCTAGCTACAGCGAGCCACGCCGCCGCAGCCTGAGCTGTCTAAAGGCCCCATGGCTCAGTAAAGCTGGCCTCAGACTCCTACAGAGGCTCAGATAGCTGCAGCTAGCTGCAGCTAGCTACAGACACACAGGGGGCGGCCAGAGCTGCCCCCACAGATAAAGCATGGGGCCAGGTGCTGCAGCCGCGGCAAAGCAGCAGCAGCAGCAGCAGCGGGGGCTGACGCACTTGAAAACGCAGAATACTGCAGCTCTGCTCTTTCCTTCTCAGTGAGCTTTGGGCGAGTAGCATCGGCAGCAGCAGCAGCAGCAGGAGTGTCCATTTCTGCTGCGTCATGGGGGCCCCTAGTCCGCATCGAAGAGGGCCCATCTTCCGGCAGCAAAGCAAATGAGGCCTCCATCAATTCCCTGAAAGACACAACCCCACAAAATAAGTGCTGCTGCCATCTTCTGCAGCAGAAAAAGCAATTAAAATGACACGAAAGGACCCCAGGGGGCCCCCAGAGGGCCCCCAGGAACCTAGGGCCCCTGGAAGGCCCCCAAAGCAGCCATAAGGGGCCCTTCGAATGACCTTTAGTAAGGCCCTTTCTTGGTAGCCCCACCAGTACCCAAGGGGCCCCCAAAAGAGTACCAAAGGGCCCCCAGCAGGCCTTGGGGGGCCCCCAAGGGCCCCCAGGGGCCCCACAGGGCCGCACGGGGCTGACCTGAAGACATCATCTGTGCCAGTTATCTTTTTGTTTGGAGACACTCGAGGCTCTCCGCAGAAGCCTGAGGGGAAGTTCCCGCAGCAGATGCGCAGCAGCAAGTATTCAGCAGCAGCAGAAGCAGCAGCAGCAGCAGCAGACGCCACAGTGCCGCAGATTCTGCAGCAGGAAGTGTGCGGAATGCGGCAGCAAAATGAGCAGCAGCGGCAGCCCGAGCAGCACCATGATTGTCGCAGCAGCAGAAAGAACTGCGGCCCAGCAGCAGCAGCAGCAACAGCAGCAGCAGCAGCAGCAGCAGCAGCCGTACCTAAACTTTGTAGGATCTGCGTGGCAGACACATTCCTTTCGTCAATTGACCTGAGGGCCTCCTTGCGAGCTGCTGCTGCTGCTCGCTGCTGCTCCTGCACTGTCGTGTGGGGCCCCGAGGGCCCCTGGGACTCATAAGCTTCCTTTTCAGCTTGCTGGTAATGTGCTGCGGCCTGCAGCAAACAGTGCAGCACCGCAGCAACGCTGCTGCTGTTGCACCTGCAGCTGCTGCTGTTGCACCTGCAGCTGCTGCTGTTGCACCTGCAGCTGCTGCTGTTGCACCTGCAGCTGCTGCTGTTGCACCTGCAGCTGCTGCTGCTGCACCTGCAGCTGCTGCTGCTGCACCTGCAGCTGCTGCTGTTGCACCTGCTGCTGCTGGAGCCCCTGGGCGTTTCTTACCTGCAGCTTGTTCAGCCACAGAAGGTTTGCCGTCTTCTTGCGGGACACGCGCCCGAGCTGCACTGCCTGAGTAACTGCAGCAGCAGCAGTAGCAGCAACAGCAGCAGCAGCGGCGGGAACAGCATGCAGAAACGGGCGAGCTCTGGTTTTTGTGAGCAACAAAGCCCCCTCACCCCCGTGCTGCAGCAGCAAAGATTACTGCCATAAAGGTGACCCCGCAGCTGTGCAGGCAGCAGCAGCAGCAGCAGCAGCAGCAGCAGGTGCGGCCGCAACGGTAGCAGCAGAAACAGCAGCAAAGGAAAACAAGACGCGCCAGGTAGCACTGATAGCAGCATGTAACGCAGCAGCAGCCGCAGCAGCAGCAAGTGCAGCAGCAGCAGCAAGTGGGTCACCTTTGCGTTCGATTTGCTGCCGCTCGTGCAGCACGGCCCTTCTCTTCGTCTTTTCCAGCAAACGGTCGAGGGCCTCTTCGCGCCTCAAGCGCTTATCTGCGAGCCCCAGCAGCAGCAGCAGCAGCAGCAGTAGCAGCCACAGCAGCAGCACAAGATGTTGTACGGACGCAACACTAAGGTAGGAAGCTGAAAGAACTCGAGCTTCTTCTGCAAGCAGCTTCTGTCCTCTTCTTAATTGTAGCTTAGCAGCCGCAGCAGCAGCAACAGCAGCACCAAAAGCAAGAGGAAAGCAGCAACAGCAGCAGCAAAAGCGACAGCAGGAGCGAGAGATCAACGGCGGCAGCAGCAGCAAGAGCAACTGCAGCGTCAAAAACTGCAGCAGCAACAGCGACAAAGCAGCAACCTCTGCAGCACTACTAGCAGCAGCAGCAGCAGCAGCAGCAGCGACTGCTGCTCACCCTCCCTGGTTTGCTGCAGCAGCAACTGGTGTCTTTGCCTCTCCTCGCGAGTCACTTCTGCCAGCCGCTGCAAATACTGGGCCCTGTAAATGCGGCGAATTTCTGTCAGCTAAAAAGCAAAAAACAAAAAGAAAAAATTAAAAAGAAATTAAAAGGAAATTAAAAAGAAATTAAAAGGATTTAAAGAGACTAAAAGAGATTAAAGTGATTAAAAAAGATTAAAAGAGACAAAAAAAGAAAAAAAAAGACAAAAAAGAGCCAAAAAGAGACGAAAAAGACCCAAAACACAGATGCAGCAGCAGCAGCTGCTGCTGCAGCAGCTGCTGCTGCTGCTGCTGTTGCTGCTGCTGCTGCTGCTGGTACCTGTCTCTGCCACATGAAGAGCTCGGCCTGGTAAGGGGTGAGGCCCTCTCTGAGCTTTGCTTGCTGCTGCTGCAGCGGGGCCTGGGGCCCCAGCAAAAAGGCCAGTCTGTGCTGCAGTGCAGCAGCAGCAACAGAAGGGACCCCCCGCACTTCTTCCAGGGTTTTCCGCTGCGGCGGCAGCGGCACTGGCACTTGCCTGCAGCACACACCCACGCCCCCTGCTGCCGCTGCTGCTGCTGCTGCTGCTGTTGCTGTTGCTGCTGCTGCTGCTGCTGCTGCTGCTGGCAGTCTCTTTGGGGGCGCTGCTCGATTGGCTGCTGCAGCTGCGGAGCGGCGCCTCTGCTACCTCCCCGCAGCCCCTACGCCGCCGCTGCCGCCGCCTCTGCTGCTGCTGCTGCTGCTGCTGCTGCTGCAGGTACCTGGCTGGGGGCAGCAGGGAGAAGCGGCGGGCCTTCTCGCGGCGACGAACTGCTGCCTTCACCAAAGACTCTCCGGGGCCCAAAAGCTGCTGCGGACTTTCGCGCAAAGTCGCGCGCTTGAAGCGCCCGGGGGGGCGCAGAAAGGCAGCAGCAAGCAGCGCAGCGCGAGGCACGAAACTCGCGTAGCCCGACATCCTGCTGCTGCTGCTGCTGCTGCTGCTGCTGCTGCTGCGGGTGGGGGGGGCGCTGGCGGCGGAGCTGGTGGTGCTGCTGGTGGTGGTGCTGCTGCTGCTGTTGGTGTTGCTGCTGCTGCTGGTGCCGCTGCTGCTGCTGGTGCTGCTGCTGCTGCTGCTGGTGCGAGGGCTGCTGCTGCTGCTGCTGGTGCTGCTGGTGCGAGGGCTGTTGGGGCTGGAGGGGGTGGGTAGCAGCGGAGTGCTGCGCAGGGGTGAGGGCTGCTGCTGCTGCTGCTCCTGCTGCTGCTGCTGTGGTTGCTGCGAGAGGTGAGGAAGGCGCAGCTCCAGCTGCAGCGGGTCTGGAGTGGAGCTCACGATGCCCCTGCTGCTGCAGCCGCTGCAGCAAATCTTCCTGCTGCTGTTGGTCGAAACGCTGGTGCTGCTGTTGCTGCCGGTCAAAGCAATGCTGCTGCTGCAGCTGCTGCTGCTGCTGCTCGCCCAGTTGCTGCCGCTGCCGCTGCTGCTGCTGCGACTGCTGCGCTTGGGCCTGCGGCCGACAGCAAATGGAGCAGCGGCAGCTCTGAGGCCCTCAGAGTCCCTACCAGTACTGTATTCCTCCTTGCTTGGGCCCTTTCACTTGCTGCGTTGCTGCTGCTGCTGCTGCTGTTGCTGCTGCTGCTGCTGGGTTCGAGCTTATGGACCACTCGAGTCTAGAGAAGGGCCCTACTGCAGCAGTGTAGGCCAAAGTAGGCATTTCCCGGAGCCGCCAAAGAAAGCTTAATTTGCTGATTTCGTGGGTATTTTGAAACAGCAGCAGCAGCAGCAGCTGCTGCTGCTGCTGCTGCTGAGCAGCCAAGATCGGGGGCCCCGCCTAGGCCTCCGGGGCCCCTCAAGAGACCCTCGGGCT